TAACCTAACCTAACCTAACCTAACCTAACCTAACCTAACCTAACCTAACCTAACCTAACCTAACCTAACCTAACCTAACCTAACCTAACCTAACCTAACCTAACCTAACCTAACCTAACCTAACCTAACCTAACCTAACCTAACCTAACCTAACCTAACCTAACCTAACCTAACCTAACCTAACCTAACCTAACCTAACCTAACCTAACCTAACCTAACCTAACCTAACCTAACCTAACCTAACCTAACCTAACCTAACCTAACCTAACCTAACCTAACCTAACCTAACCTAACCTAACCTAACCTAACCTAACCTAACCTAACCTAACCTAACCTAACCTAACCTAACCTAACCTAACCTAACCTAACCTAACCTAACCTAACCTAACCTAACCTAACCTAACCTAACCTAACCTAACCTAACCTAACCTAACCTAACCTAACCTAACCTAACCTAACCTAACCTAACCTAACCTAACCTAACCTAACCTAACCTAACCTAACCTAACCTAACCTAACCTAACCTACCCTAACCTAACCTAACCTAACCTAACCTAACCTAACCTAACCTAACCTAACCTAACCTAACCTAACCTAACCTAACCTAACCTAACCTAACCTAACCTAACCTAACCTAACCTAACCTAACCTAACCTAACCTAACCTAACCTAACCTAACCTAACCTAACCTAACCTAACCTAACCTAACCTAACCTAACCTAACCTAACCTAACCTAACCTAACCTAACCTAACCTAACCTAACCTAACCTAACCTAACCTAACCTAACCTAACCTAACCTAACCTAACCTAACCTAACCTAACCTAACCTAACCTAACCTAACCTAACCTAACCTAACCTAACCTAACCTAACCTAACCTAACCTAACCTAACCTAACCTAACCTAACCTAACCTAACCTAACCTAACCTAACCTAACCTAACCTAACCTAACCTAACCTAACCTAACCTAACCTAACCTAACCTAACCTAACCTAACCTAACCTAACCTAACCTAACCTAACCTAACCTAACCTAACCTAACCTAACCTAACCTAACCTAACCTAACCTAACCTAACCTAACCTAACCTAACCTAACCTAACCTAACCTAACCTAACCTAACCTAACCTAACCTAACCTAACCTAACCTAACCTAACCTAACCTAACCTAACCTAACCTAACCTAACCTAACCTAACCTAACCTAACCTAACCTAACCTAACCTAACCTAACCTAACCTAACCTAACCTAACCTAACCTAACCTAACCTAACCTAACCTAACCTAACCTAACCTAACCTAACCTAACCTAACCTAACCTAACCTAACCTAACCTAACCTAACCTAACCTAACCTAACCTAACCTAACCTAACCTAACCTAACCTAACCTAACCTAACCTAACCTAACCTAACCTAACCTAACCTAACCTAACCTAACCTAACCTAACCTAACCTAACCTAACCTAACCTAACCTAACCTAACCTAACCTAACCTAACCTAACCTAACCTAACCTAACCTAACCTAACCTAACCTAACCTAACCTAACCTAACCTAACCTAACCTAACCTAACCTAACCTAACCTAACCTAACCTAACCTAACCTAACCTAACCTAACCCCAACTCCAACCTAACCTAACCTAAATCCCAACTCAACCTAACCTAACCTAACCTAACCTAACCTAACCTAACCTAACCTAACCTAACCTAACCTAACCTAACCTAACCTAACCTAACCTAACCTAACCTAACCTAACCTAACCTAACCTAACCTAACCTAACCTAACCTAACCTAACCTAACCTAACCTAACCTAACCTAACCTAACCTAACCTAACCTAACCTAACCTAACCTAACCTAACCTAACCTAACCTAACCTAACCTAACCTAACCTAACCTAACCTAACCTAACCTAACCTAACCTAACCTAACCTAACCTAACCTAACCAAACCTAACCTAACCAACCTAACCTAACCTAACCTAACCTAACCTAACCTAACCTAACCTAACCTAACCTAACCTAACCTAACCTAACCTAACCTAACCTAACCTAACCTAACCTAACCTAACCTAACCTAACCTAACCTAACCTAACCTAACCTAACCTAACCTAACCTAACCTAACCTAACCTAACCTAACCTAACCTAACCTAACCTAACCTAACCTAACCTAACCTAACCTAACCTAACCTAACCTAACCTAACCTAACCTAACCTAACCTAACCTAACCTAACCTAACCTAACCTAACCTAACCTAACCTAACCTAACCTAACCTAACCTAACCTAACCTATCCTAACCTAACCTAACCTAACCTAACCTAACCTAACCTAACCTAACCTAACCTAACCTAACCTAACCTAACCTAACCTAACCTAACCTAACCTAACCTAACCTAACCTAACCTAACCTAACCTAACCTAACCTAACCTAACCTAACCTAACCTAACCTAACCTAACCTAACCTAACCTAACCTAACCTAACCTAACCTAACCTAACCTAACCTAACCTAACCTAACCTAACCTAACCTAACTCTAACCTAACCTAACCTAACCTAACCTAACCTAACCTAACCTAACCTAACCTAACCTAACCTAACCTAACCTAACCTAACCTAACCTAACCTAACCTAACCTAACCTAACCTAACCTAACCTAACCTAACCTAACCTAACCTAACCTAACCTAACCTAACCTAACCTAACCTAACCTAACCTAACCTAACCTAACCTAACCTAACCTAACCTAACCTAACCTAACCTAACCTAACCTAACCTAACCTAACCTAACCTAAAATCTAAACTAACCTAACCTAACCTAACCCAACCTAACCTAACCTATCCTAACCCAACCTAACCTAACCTAACCTAACCTAACCTAACCTAACCTAACCTAACCTAACCTAACCTAACCTAACCTAACCTAACCTAACCTAACCTAACCTAACCTAACCTAACCTAACCTAACCTAACCTAACCTAACCTAACCTAACCTAACCTAACCTAACCTAACCTAACCTAACCTAACCTAACCTAACCTAACCTAACCTAACCTAACCTAACCTAACCTAACCTAACCTAACCTAACCTAACCTAACCTAACCTAACCTAACCTAACCTAACCTAACCTAACCTAACCTAACCTAACCTAACCTAACCTAACCTAACCTAACCTAACCTAACCTAACCTAACCTAACCTAACCTAACCTAACCTAACCTAACCTAACCTAACCTAACCTAACCTAACCTAACCTAACCTAACCTAACCTAACCTAACCTAACCTAACCTAACCTAACCTAACCTAACCTAACCTAACCTAACCTAACCTAACCTAACCTAACCTAACCTAACCTAACCTAACCTAACCTAACCTAACCTAACCTAACCTAACCTAACCTAACCTAACCTAACCTAACCTAACCTAACCTAACCTAACCTAACCTAACCTAACCTAACCTAACCTAACCTAACCTAACCTAACCTAACCTAACCTAACCTAACCTAACCTAACCTAACAACCTAACCTAACCGAAGGTTTTGTTTGCGCTTCCTGTTACTTGTGGGATCGCCAGAGCGAAACTTCATCGCGTTGGAAATTTACCTTACCTGCCATCTAGCGTGTAGTAGTAGTATAGTTTGATAGGCCTGTTCTTTCTTTTCCCTGTGTCCTATGTTTTCGCGGTAGCCGTTGTCATGTCATTGCGTTGTCCCTATCGTTGTTTTGTCTGTTCTTTCATCAATTCAATTTCAATTTCATCAAACAAAGTGAATTTCTGTCATATTCGTTGTCGATTTCTAGTCGTTGTCGTGTCGCGTTGTCTTTGTCACTGTCGTTGCCGTTGCAGTTGTCGTCTTCATGTCGTTGCATTGTCGTTATCGTCGCGTACTCCTCGTCGTTGTAATGTCGTTGTCGTTGTCTTTGTTGTTGCTGTTATTGTGTCTTTACGTTGTCGTTGCCATTGCCGATGCTTTGTCGTTGTCTTTGCGTTGCCGTTGTCGGTTTTGTTGTCGTTGCATTTTCGTTGCCATTGCCGTTGTCGTTGTCGTTGCCGTCGCCGTTGTAATGGCGTTGTCGTTGTCTTTGTTGTTGCCGTTATTGTGTCTTTGCGTTGTCGTTATCGTTGCATGGTCGTAGTCGTTGTCGTTGCGTTGTCATTGTAGTGTCGGTGTCATTGTCGTTGTCGTTGTAGTTATCTTTGTCGTTGCCGTTGCAGTTTTCGTTGCTTTGTCGTTGTCGTTGCCGTCGCCGTTGTAATGGCGTTGTCGTTGTCTTTGTTGTTGCCGTTATTGTGTCTTTGCGTTGTCGTTATCGTTGCATGGTCGTAGTCGTTGTAGTTGCGTTGTCGTTGTTGTGTCGGTGTCATTGTCGTTGTCGTTGTAGTTATCGTTGTCGTTGCCGTTGCAGTTGTCGTTGCTTTGTCGTTGTCGTTGCCGTCGCCGCTGTAATGGCGTTGCTGTTGTCTTTGTTGTTGCCGTTATTGTGTCTTTGCGTTGTCGTTATCGTTGCATGGTCGTAGTCGTTGTCGTTGCGTTGTCATTGTAGTTGCGTTGTCGTTGTTGTGTCGGTGTCATTGTCGTTGTCGTTGTAGTTATCGTTGTCGTTGCCGTTGCAGTTGTCGTTGCTTTGTCGTTGTCGTTGCCGTCGCCGTTGTAATGGCATTGCTGTTGTCTTTGTTGTTGCCGTTATTGTGTCTTTGCGTTGTCGTTATCGTTGCATGGTCGTAGTCGTTGTCGTTGCGTTGTCGTTGTAGTTGCGTTGTCGTTGTTGTGTCGGTGTCATTGTCGTTGTCGTTATCTTTGTCTTTGCAGTTGTCGTTGCTTTGTCGTTGTTGTTGCCGTCGCCGTTGTAATGGCGTTGTCGTTGTCTTTGTTGTTGCCGTTATTGTGTCTTTGCGTTGTCGTTATCGTTGCATGGTCGTAGTCGTTGTCGTTGCGTTGTCATTGTAGTTGCGTTGTCGTTGTTGTGTCGGTGTCATTGTCGTTGTCGTTGTCGTTATCATTGTCGTTGCCGTTGCAGTTTTCGTTGCTTTGTCGTTGTCGTTGCCGTCGCCGTTGTAATGGCATTGCTGTTGTCTTTGTTGTTGCCGTTATTGTGTCTTTGCGTTGTCGTTATCGTTGCATGGTCGTAGTCGTTGTCGTTGCGTTGTCGTTGTAGTTGCGTTGTCGTTGTTGTGTCGGTGTCATTGTCGTTGTCGTTATCTTTGTCTTTGCAGTTGTCGTTGCTTTGTCGTTGTTGTTGCCGTCGCCGTTGTAATGGCGTTGCTGTTGTCGTAGTCGTTGTCGTTGCGTTGTCATTGTCATTGTCGTTGTCGTTGCCATTATCGTTGTCGTTGCCATTATCGTTGTCGTTGCCATTATCGTTGTCGTTGCCATTATCGTTGTCGTTGCCGTTATCGTTGCCGTTGCCGTTGTCGTTGTTGTCGTTTTCGTCGTCGTGGCTGTTGTCGCTATTGTTGTCGTTGTCGTTGTTGTCGTTTTGTCGGTCATTGCCGCTTTGGTGTTAGAGTAATTATCGTTCTCCCTGTCGGTGTCAGTGTCAATGTCTACGTCTACGTCAGTGTGGTAAATCGATACAGTATTGTTGGTTAAGGGTACTCTGTCGGGTTTTGGATCGCGTGTCTGGACGGAACGCTAGTGTTGCGTTGTACGGAAATATGCCGTCCAGCGACAGGACTAAATGAAATAAGTTTCGAGGCGAGGTGTCGCACCGCCGTGTATTCGACGCTGGCCGAGAAATACCTGCGGCGACGTGTGCCGGCTCGCCCACTCACACGATATAGTCACACTAACTTGCCACAACTATCAATCTAGATTGAACATCTATATTGATAGTTGTGGCAAGTTAGTGGCCAGTTTAATACCGAAGATTGCCGACGAGCAGAACGTATTGAAGAATGAACAAGGTCGCTACGTCCCAATTACAATATATATATATATAGTAATTTTCTTTGATTTAAAAAAAAAAAAAAAAAAAAAAAAAGAATACTTCTGGCTTTATAAAACACTACGAGTTTCATTTATTGCCGACAACGTAACTTATGTGAAATTTGGGCAGGTCCTGGCTTTGTCACCTATATTAAGAGATATTCCATTTAGCTACGGTTACTTTTCGAAGTAGGTAGTGCTGCCCAAGTACAACATTTACTTATTTAGTTTATAATCGTGCTCGATATCTTGTACAAAAGTAATCACCTTATCCAAAGTGACACTTCAATATTTAGCTCATTGGTATGCCTATGGATGGCATCGTTGGTAATAAACTCCTTGTAGCGGTATAACTATAGGGAGGAGGATGTGAGGAAATTAAAAGGCCAAAATACTCTTAGAGAGTTTATTTACTTCGTTCTTGGAACTGTAAGTAGGTACATTCTTCGCGCATAATTTATTATCTCTAAAATATACATTATTATCTCGAACAATGTTAATTTCAGTTTCAACTTTCAAAATATACTCAATTTCGCCTACAGTTTATAACTCTAAGTATTAGGTAAGTAATTAGTCAAGGATCACAAAACAGTGGATAAATCTAAAGTGTGTAAAAGTGAGAGTTGTCCGCGACACCGCAATCATAAACATATACTTTCGAAATTGTAACGAACGCACCGCACCGCACCGCAACGCACCGCATCGCACCGCACCGCCACCCTCAGCAGTGGCGTTTCATTGACATCGCTGACGCATGTACCTGAGCAGAGTGTGGGGTGTGGGGTGCATAGTAAAGTGCGCAGTGTAGACACATTTTTTTTTTTTTTCCAATATATATTTTTATTTTTTACTTATTAGGTACCTACGTACGTTTGTACACACACATACGTAGGTGGATCAATATGATCAATATTATTACAAAATATACGCTAAATGTTTCATTTATTGTCTACCAACTAACTTCCGCGTCGAGTGTACGCGTTACTAATAAGTCATGTAGCGTAACAATATACAATGAACTTAATAATGTAGTACAATTACTTCACGACACCTCATCAACTCATCACACAACGTATCACGCTACAGTGGTGAGGTGATAACCATCGCGTTATAAATGTATATAAAAAATATTTTAACATAACATTATTGTTTACGTATATTTTTAAAACAAAATCCAATAGAATTGTTATATAGTAGTACATTGAAGAATAGATTGGTTTATATAGCTGAAGTAGCCATTTATTGCGACTCACTAGGTGTCTACGTACTGTGTGTATGTAATGTTACCTCACAATAAATAATTAATTGCAGTGACTACATTTAGATGAGTTTATTATAGTTTCATGAACGCGGTCGGCGCAAGTGACAACACGCAGTGATTTTCGCAATTGAGGAAGTAATTAATATGAACAGCTCCAACTTGAACTACACACAAACACACAGGCAGGTGTCTGTTGGTGGCCGTGTGACCATTGTGACCTGTGCCATCTATGAAGTACTATAATCTTTTGGTCTTATTTGATACAGTTATTTCTGTAATCTATTTGTTAACACGTGTTTATGAAGTACGCAATACATGTATTTACTATAATAATATAATAGAGCACGAAATACACGTTGAATTTCACACAGTTTATAACTTATCGCTGTATAATTATACGTACTGTCACTTTTAACTTGACACGTCAGGCGAGTGGTCGCTAGTAATGTATAATGTAATGTAGTCTATATAAAACTGAATCTATTATTAATATATCAATGTTAAATTTATTTTACTAAAACTATTTTTAACTTTTTTTTTTTTTTCGTCATCATTAATGTTGCCTGTTATAAGGCGAAAAGGATAAAAAAAAAAAAAAAAACTTTTTATTGAACAGATTTTATCAATATTAAAATCAATCAATAAGTTTTTTTTTTTTTTTCATACCGTAATCGATGTTTTCTGTAATTGTATATTTTGTGTGAGTGGCTGACAGAGGGCCGAGTACGGGCACGGAGCAGTGTAGGTACGATGCCTCGCGGACATTTCTCACTGGTTTACTTCACTTAAAGCTTCATAAACTTACAATAAATTATACACAACATACTAACTAACTTGTACTTTATTTATCTAAAAATAAATAATTCGATAAGCGACGGACACTGTACAATCATTTTGTCTGAAATTTTTTTTTTTTTTTAGTTCCATAAAGTGTGGTTTCAATACATAATATTTTAAATTGTAACATATTTGTAATGTATACTTTGCTGAAGACACAGTTAGACAGCAGGTACCTATGTATAATATCAAATACGAAGTGACTTCAGTGGGTGTCACATACGCAGGCCACCGACTCTACTGCCATCACGACCTCATATATACCACGTATATATTTATCTATGTGTAGATATAAATATATATGTTTTAAATTTAAACGACACAGAACAATGTGTTATAAATATGAATGTAATTCAATATAACTATATATGTATCGTATTGCATCACAGCGGCGTGCCTGGGCCCCGTTAGACCCGTTTGACTTTCAGAAATATATATATCTCTAGTGGAAGCTATAAAAATATATATGATACAGGTGTGTGTAGCGGCCGCCCGGGCGGCGCCTCGCTGCCCATCACAACTGCACAGCCATCGACCTTCCACTCCACTATAGAACACTATTAAAATATTCAAATCTATATAAATATCTAAGTAACAAGAGAGTTTTACATCGGCGCGTACGGCCACCGATAAATTCGTAAATCACACGAGGACATCAAATATTTACAGTTCATAACTTTACTAATCAGTTGAGGAAATATTCGATTCTCTATTCAATAGTCCCTTCGCATCGATCGTGCCTCATCTTTCAAAATATCACACTCCTTTGTCAAATCAATCTCAAAAAATATATTTTGGTGGCAAGGTAGCCGGATATCACATGGGTGAGCGCGCGCTCTCTCCCCGGGGACGGGGGGGCAGTCAGGGCTCGGCGAGGGTGGTGGGGGTGGTGGGGGCGGTGGGGGCGGTGGGGGCGGAGGGGGCGGAGGGCGGCGGCAGCTTGCGCGGCTCGAGGCGCTCGTCGGCGGCCAGCAGCCGGTCCAGCTCCTCGTCCTCGTAGAACACGACGAAGTGCTCGGGCTTGGCGACCGCCTCGAAGATGGAGCACACGGAGGGCTTCACGTTGTAGAAGTAGAGCGGCTGGCGGCGCGCGTGGAAGTCGGCCGTGAGCTGCTCGATGCTCTTGGCGGCGGTGTAGTCGGCGCTGTAGATGTGCGTGCACTCCATCACCACCGGCACCGAGCTGCTCGCCGCGCACTTGGTCACCAGCCGCCGCACGTAGTCCACCGACGGGAACATCAGGCACCGGTCCGGCGTTATCATCAGGTACTCCACGCCACCCTCCGTCTGCAAACGACAACACCATACAACTCATGTAGACTTTATTGCAAAGTCCCGTGTAGGTGGGACTCACACTACCGACATCACAATACCACTCCACGGTCCGTACAGTCTGTTAACGTCTCTAAGAAGGTCATGTTTTTATAAAAAAAAAAAAAACCTCATGTCATGTTTCTATAAATTCGACCCATGTACTGTATTTATATTCATATGCATGTAGTAAAAAAAAAAAAAACCGGTTATTTCAATATTACAAGCAGACACTTCAATTTCATATATATGTATAGAAATAGTAAAAAGGGCCGGCATACCTTCAGCATTTCCACTGTGAATTTAGGACGCGCCGCGTGGTACAGGATGAAGATAATGTTCACCACGATACCGGTGAGGATGCCCAGCTCCAGCGGCAGTGTCAGGCACAAGATAAAAGTGCCGATTCCAGGTATCAGGTCCAGTTCTGGAATTAAACACGAGTATATTTTAGATATAGACACCTATATAAGCAAATCGGCGTACGAACAAATAGGTTTAAAGTATTCAGTTGAGTTTTTGCCCATCCTTAATAGTTGAATCAATATACTGAACAGGATGATGGGGAAAAATTATGATATCATTTTTTTTTAACAAAATTCATGTACATATGAATAAATATTATTAATTCATGTGAATTAAAATATGAAATTCTAATATTACATAAGTAAAAAAATTAGATCCGATCAGCAACGAAAAAAGTATGAAAGTATTAAGTTAAAAGTGACTCAATCCAGTCTTATAATCATGAGATCAAATCAAGAGATTTTGGGGTGGTTTACGACTCGGTGGATGTTCCAAACTAAGTTTAAGATAATGAAAGATGAATGAAATAAAAACAGTATCACTGACTTTTGGCGCGCCACATGGGCTTGATGACGTTGTACTCGACCATGAAGAGAATGGCCGATATGATGACGGCGGCGAGGGCCGCCTTCGGGATGTACTCGAAATACTGCGTGAAGAACTGCAGAGCCATTATCACCATCAAACCTGGAAACATATACAATTACATTCACTACATGATGTAGTAACATCATCTACATATTGTGAATTTGAATTGAATTGTGTAATCCGTCAGAGCACTCAGAGCAGAAGACACGCTGAAAATCAAACTGATGTTATTCATTCATATTGAAATCAACAGAATCATTCAATGCTGTTGATTTCAGTGTGAATTAATAATAATAATTTTGACGGCCTCGGTGGTCTAGCGGTTTAGCAGACTTCCTTATTTGCGATGGTCGCGGATTAGATTCTCGCACGATGCAAACATGCATGCATTCATGAATATGATCGTTTGTATCGGCCTGGGTATTTTTACTATATATATTAAACATGTTGTTACAAAAAAAAAAATAATGAAGTATTTCATTCTAGACTGGACCTCACCTGTCTGTATTGGACAAGTAGGAGAGAGAGAGAGAGAGAGAGATAGTAATTGAAGGAAGTTCCGATGGTAAGTCAGGATCATGGAGTATATTATTGTATACACACAGATACGCTAGAAGGGAACATTGTCCGTAGTACTCAATGGTTTACGGTATCAGTTACAGAAGCTGGGGCAGATTGTTCATATATATACCTGTATATAACCCGTTGAGGGTGGTCTTCACCCCGGACCCGTTGGAGACGACCGAGCGCGCCAGCGACCCGCCGCCCGGGTACGCCTGCATGAACGAGTTGGCCACGTTGGCGATGCCGAGGGCGATCATCTCCTGCGTGGCGTCCACGGTGCGCCCGTCCGAGAACGCTTTGCAGATGGAGATGTCCTCGAGCAGCACGATCAGCGGGATCACGATGATACCGGAGCCCAGCTCCGACACCATCTCCAGGAAGTCGGCCGTGGAGTTGTCGGCGCGCTCGTAGCTGAAGGGCGGCGGACGCGGGGTGGGCACGCCCGACGGGATCGCACCTGACACACCAACCGAACAACTCGCGTTACCACTGTTGACTGTACCTACACGGCTGTACCGACAAGTCTAACGTTTGATCGATACAACATGGAATGGTACTACAATGAACACGTGCGATGGGTCTACTCTACTGCGAGATGTGTGCAGTGCATGGCCTGATACTTGGCAGCGTGGCATGGTACGAGTACGCTAGCTACGCTAGTACGCAGTGCGCTACTAACCGCCTCGGACATTGTCCGCTGGTGGAGACATAAAACAAAAACAAAATACAATTAATCTCTTGACAAACGCATACATTAATAATTTTTTTTTTAATTATTAAAATTTTAATGCACAGACACATAAATAAATGTCATATGGCGGACTGAACACCTAGAGGCATTTCCTCCCAGTCATACATAGGGCGGAGATTCGTGATAGATAATCTGTATTAATCACAGACCACTACTCTGTTCACTGATGCTAATCACATCCTTGCAAAATTAGTAAGTCCGCCATTTTCTATATTATAATATTTATTTGTATATTTATAATATTTAAATTAGAAAATGACTTTTTTCTTTTTAATTTTTATTTTTAGCCAAAATGCGGTAATCAGGTCGTACAAAGTAAATAGAGGACGTCGTACCCATCAAGCGGACCGGGGAGGCGCCGTGTGTGGCGACGAACCAGAAGCCGAGCACGCCGCTGAGCACGACCACGATCGCGTTCCTGCACGTGCCCAGCAGCCACATGATCTTGGTGAGCGCCTTCTGCCGCGTGCTGGGGCCGTTCTCGTCGCCGGCGCCTAACTTTATCATACCGATTTTCTGTAAAATTAACAGAACAATAATTTTATTTATGACATTTGAAACCAAATATGCGTGCAGTGGTATGGTAAGACGACTTCCAATTCTGTGATATCGTAAAGATTACAACAAGCAGAAGGTACTCACTCTCATAGACAGCAACAGAGCTATGCAAATGAAGCCCAAAACGGGATCCCACAGTGACGCAGTGTGTATGTTGCTGAAGATGGATATCCACTGCTGCAGAAAGGTGGCGCCGGTGACCGTGATGGCGAACAGGTCCTTGACCTGGGAGGTGGCGATCATGAGCGCCACCGCGGACGTGAAGCCGGACGACACGGGCCCCGAGACGAAGTTGATCAAAAAGCCGAGACCCAAAACTCCCATTAGGAGTTTCACCAGTCCGGAGAGGAACGTGAGGAGGATGGCCTTCTCGATGACGCCCTCGGCGATCTGCCACGTGAGCAGCGAGGCGATGGCGGTGGGCCCGGCGGGCACGGCGCGGCACCCGCCCAGCACGATGTAGATGAAGCAGCCCAGGAACGAGCCGTACAGCCCGTGCTGCGGCGGCAGCCCCGCGATGTTCGAGTACGCCAGCGACTGCGGTATCACCGTCAGGCCCACGGTGATGCCCGCGATCAGGTCGCCCACAGCCTTCTCCGTGTTGTACCTGCCGGCAGATACCAACCGATGAAATCATTTGCCATCACCGGCACTGTGCTATTTATCAACTGATTTCAATTAGCAGCATGCAAGAGTATTCATCGCTTGTCAGATATACGACACCGGTTTTATTTTTTTTTTAATTAGTAAGGCATGTGATACTCACTGGGGCAGCCAAGCAGTTATGGGCAGTCGTTTATGAAGAGTCTTCCTGTTGATGCGTCGTCGCAGGGCACAGCGCCAGCCCTCGCGCGGCGTGCCGTCTGATACTGGACCATGCACAATAAAACGCACAATGTTGTACCTACTATATGTACGCTGTACTGTTAAGTAACCTTACTAAGTACTAAGTAATATGTAATATTTTATGTCAACTGTATACAGAAGAACATAAATGACCCGGTCCGGTAGTCCAGACACACCGTCTGGTACTCACTGATGTGGTCGTTGTAATATAATGAGATATGTTTGTGTGGTGGGCTGACGGTGTGGGTGTGTCTGGTACTCACGGATGTGGTCGTTGTAATGTAATGAGATATGTTTGTGTGGTGGGCTGACGGTGTGGGTGTGTCTGGTACTCACTGATGTGGTCGTTGTAATATAATGAGATATGTTTGTGTGGTGGGCTGACGGTGTGGGTGTGTCTGGTACTCACTGATGTGGTCGTTGTAATATAATGAGATATGTTTGTGTGGTGGGCTGACGGTGTGGGTGTGTCTGGTACTCACTGATGTAGTCGTTGCTGGCGTGCTTGTCGTCGGGCGCGGGCAGCGAGCCCGACGACGCGTTGTGTTTGCGTCGCGGGATCATCCTGCACACACACACACACACAACACATGAGTACTGTATAACAGATTTTTTATAACTATTATTATACTATTACTATATTACTTTATGGTAATTACGCTTAACAATTCAAAACAAAACAGGTGTCAGCGCTTGATAGGATATATATTTTAGGAAGTTTAAAAGTTGCGCCAGTTATAGTCAAGTGGCGAGGTGGGCATGCTATGTGGAGGAACGAGGATCATGTCTTAAGTTTAATATGAAAGTCGGTGGAGGGAAAGGGAAAGGACGGGCTAAAAAAATGGATGGATGTGTGAAGGATGATATGAATAAAAGGAGAGTATGTTCAGATATGACGACCGATAGAGAGCAGTGGAAGAGAATGACATACTGCGACGACCACAAATAATGGGATAAAGGCGAGGCAATGATGAAGTTATACATTTTGTACCGAGATATTGCATTTGTTTATATTATTATTATAGAAAGTACTCAGTATATATAATATAGCACGCCTCCGTAATGACAGCATGAACTTCTTTTGTCGGCTGGTTCAGTCGGTCAGTCGGATTGTGTGGACGTTGTTTTGGTTCAACGACTGGTGTTCTTCGATCAACTAAGGCATATATAATTAATTACCAATTGATTTACAACTGAAGCGCGTGTCAGTGTGTATTGTGTACAATATAATCGCCAATTCAATCAGTTCTGATGCGTCTTTGCAATTGACACGGTCTCGTGACGGATCCCAAATATTTATTATGATTGATGTTGATATTCTGTAGACGTGTCTGTAATAAATTATGACCACCCATAAATATTGTACGGTCTCGGTGGTCTAGCGCTTTACTTCCGATGGTCGCGTATTCGATTCCTCGCACGGTGCAAACATTTTATATATATAAACACAATTGTTTCAATCGGTCTGGGTGTTTTCTATGTATACAATGGTATTTATTTACAAATAAATATATACAAGTATATCTGTCTAGTACCCAGTTGTCTAGTACTCATAACCCGAGCTCTGCTTGACTCCGGATTACACGGCGCTGTGTGTATTGTCCAGGTAACGACTATTATTTTGCTACATATTTAAATCGTGACTAGTTAATAACTAGGTAATAAAATGGTAGACGTGAAATAGTTTCAGATGAGTTATTCATATTAAATTGGGTCAGCAGTGCATACAGGTCCGAGACGGGGCGGGCCGCCCGGCCGGGCCGGGTCGACTCGCGCAGGATTCAGGCAACTCTTTTTATTGTTTTCCGCACCTCATCCGTTGATACGCAGATTTTATTCATGTGCGAGGATACGTGTATTTCAAGAGGGCTTACTACGTCTTCATATTTACATAATTCTGATAATATTTATATGCTGAATGTATATAATAAAGTCGCAAAATCGTAACGAGGCAAAACACTGAGGCCGTCGGTCTGTGGTTTTCGGAATTAGGATGAATTTTTCACAGGATATGTTGTTAAATGTGTGTTGCTCCACAAACAACGTCTATATAGTACAGGCGAGCGCTCGGGCTTCACTGGCAGATCATAGAAGGCCGATAGATTAATTAAAATTATTCTGCTCTCCGTAACACAGTACAATAACGTTGAAATTGAACTTTGTATATTTGAAAACCACATTAAATTTTTTTTATATAATTGGAATGGCTGACTGATCTGACGATCCACTTTATGGTAACAGTTTACAGATGTACAGCACTACGAACATCACGTTATCACGGGACAACTGTGATACCAGCACATGGCCACTACGGTGTCATACGTTTTAATCTTACAATTTCACTGCCCAATCAAACTGAAAATCAAAGCAACCTACTTGGCGATAAATATACGCAGACGATATTTTACAGTCACTCACTGGTACCTGCATTTTGACATTCTGAACAATAAACCATACATAAAAATAGTATTTACTGCATCAATTAAGTGTTAGATGTTTTTTGTTTGTACCTAAGCACATATTTACTGCAACCTTTGATTTTGAGACAGGGTGGTGTCTCTGGTTCAAACTACCTACATATAATTTGATATTTTTGTATGATTGTAGATAAATATAACAGATTGTTTTGGGTGTGTCCTGTTACTAGTAGTAGATAAAATACTATTGTTTTTCGTCACAATACAATCAAATATTAAACTTAATACTTGACTTTTCAATAATCTCAGTTCTGAAAACGTAATAAATGTTTCAATAAACAAATCAAACTGAATGTACCACCTACCTACCACCACTAACTGCTACTAACTACGCTGTCTACTTCAACTAATGAATTGACATTATATAATTTATGTTCTACTTCAAATTAGTTAATTTTATAAAAATATTTGTACATTTCCAACTGTCTATATAATAATATGTATATATATATACCTACCTACATTAGTGTATTCATAACTTGTCATATATTTTCTATATATACACTCATATTATAAAGAGGAAAGATTTGTATTTTTGTGTGTATGTAAGGAATAAACTGAGAAACTACTTTGCCGATTTCAATAATTCTTTCACCATTAGAATGCTGCATTCACCCTGAGTAACATAGGCTATATTAATTGATAGAAAATATTAGGGATCCTCACTAAAACTTTAGTAAACTAACTCAACGTGTAAAAAATGGTAAAAATATCTTTGGTCGCGTGCGCTGCGGAAATTATTAGTGATAGAACAAAAGTATGTTCTACAATATTGAAGAACATATCAATAACTAGGATCAGATAAAAATGTAAAATGTTGTAAAAATGTCCACCCGTGCGAAGCCGGGCCGGGCCGCTAGCGTCTATATAAAATTGAATTGTTGTTTGTTAGTCACTAAAACTGGAGGACGGGTAGACAGGTGGCAGTGGCTGTCTGTCTGTAGCTACGGTACGAGTGGTCGGTACCAACTCGGGCAGCGGTGGCAAGGTGGCAAGGCCGCGTGCGAGTGGTACGTACCACTGCACGAGTACGTTTGTAAACCAATCAATAAAGTTCTACCGCTACCTTACTTACATTGTTATCCTTCAATAACACGCATATATCATCCATTTTATGGCTTTTCGCTTTAGTTTTGTCGATCTGTGGCGCCAGACATACCCGCTCTATGAGGACCGAGCTACACTCCTCTATAAATTCGTCTGCGTGAGTACTTTTGTTTCGCCTTTCCAGCTGCCAAACAGCTGCATTGAAGGGTGAGATGTGGCAGTGAAATTATAGGATACAACGTAGCGTGTTAATCATCGGGATGGCAACGTGTGAGAGCCCACGCGGGAGTCAGATGACGACGCGACGTGTATGGTGCTGGGCATGTATTCATATAACACTTATGATCACAGAGCCCTTAGTCTGTTTACAATTACAGTCACAGAAAAAAAAATCTTTTTGTATATTTTTGTTTTTTTTTCTCGATATTCGACAACATCGCAGTCCAATATTACTGGTATCTGAATAAGTACATATCGACGCAGATAGTGTGTAGCATGAACACATTTAGACAATTGCAACTTGTAGCGCAGACCGCATGGTGACAGTACACCTATAAGTAGCCGGTGTATTGTTTAATGTACAATGCAAATAACTGTATTGATAATTGAATGTTATTTAGTGATCTTAACAAAATGGGTTGTGCTGGTGTGAGAACCATTGAATGAAATGAAAAGAATGCTAGCACAGTACATTCTTCCTCCGCCACCAATATGTTGTCGGGTGTCCCGATTTTCAGGGGTCTGGGGACGCGTCTCGATTTCTACCTGATCGGGACGTTAAATATCTGATTAAGACTAGACTAGACAACACTGATTTCTTGTTATGTAACATTAAATACATCTTTAATTTAGATAAATTGAGCCCACACTTAAAAACCCCTTATTTTTTGACTTGGCCTGGCAACAGCGGTAGCTAGCTACCGCATATCACAACACGGATATTATTTACGAATATTTAGTTCATGAATTTTAGCTGTGTGATAAACTGCGACCCAGACAACCGCCTCTCTCTGAATCAACTCACTTTTTATATATATATATACATAGGTAATTTATTTTAAACTGTCTGTTAGCGTCATCGTAACTAATTACAATGCTAATTAATTGTTTTTTACCCGTCGTTTTCCACTTACGGCCCGATTCATCACGGAATTATTTGTTGTGATAATTTAATGTTAGCTGCTAAATTAAACGATCGGAGCGTAATGATTAACTCGGGTCAATTTAATCTGCTTCTACGCGACTTGTATCTGTTTTTAATTCCATTAGGCACTGTACTACACATTAGCGTGACGGACGAGTTGCAACATTTCCTTCTATCTCCGGATCAAGTAGAGGAGTGGACCGACGTGATGATTTATCTTTATTTTCTTTTCAAATTCAATGTAGGACATTTTAACCGCTTATGAACGTCAAATTTTTTACATTATAATTTTAATTTTTTCCCTACCGTCCAGTTCAATATATAGATCCAATTGAGAAGAACCGGCAAGAAACTCAATTGAATTACTTTTTTTAAAAGCCAGTTTAATTAGGTATATAATAGTTTAATAAGTATATAGGTGTATAACATTAAATGAAAATCCCGTGCATGAACAACTATTGCCATCACTGACTTTTTGAATTTTCCTAAACAATACTTGGGAACAGCAAGTTTGTCTTTAAATCTAGTATTAATATTATGAATATTGATGTTTTTGGAAATACCTTTAACACCATCCTTTATTGGTGCAAAACAAACTTGAAATTCAATTTCCAAGTGAGCTAAACCATCACACGATGAGGAGGGGCGCGTAGTTCATTTCCAAATGTGTTCATTTATATATTTGATTTCTCGTAAACGGTATATGTAACAGCGTACGTGCTATCTCATCTGCTGCCATCACAAATTATATAATATGATTTAAGATGTATCGACGTGCAATTGAAAACGATATCTACAGATAAAACGAATACATCTGTACGCCTGACAATAGTATAACGTTAACGTTGATTGATATACGTACAGCTGACACGTTGTTTACTGTGAGTGTGAGTGGGT